AGTTTCTGTTGAATGCATGACTATATAATGATACCTACTCATCCTCCATTTACATATTAATATGTTCCAGAACTTAGGTTAAAAATTTTATGCATATTATCTAATAATCAAATTTAAGGATCAACTTAAAGTATTATCCCTATTTCATATATAAGGACAATGAGGAAACTGAAGCTCCCTAAGGTGAAATCACTTCTTGTTAGGAACTGGGACTGAACCCTGGCTCTGTTGGACTTTGAGATCCATCGCCTTTTACGTCCCTGCCCTGCTGCATGCTGGGGATCAGACCTAGGTCCACACATGCTAGGCAAGTGCCGCTGTACCCCTGAGCTACTTACCCACCCCCTTTTATAAAAATTTGAGCTCAAAAAAGAAGTGGCCCCCTTCTTGTATATTCACTATTACTAAGGTCTGTATTTCAAAAATTCAGTTTATTTAGAAATATAATGAAGGGGTTTTTATTAATGACCTCTAAGTGCTGGAACTGGATTAGTGTATGTGACTACAAAACTAAATGTAACCTTACCATTTTCTGCCTTGCTATCATAAGGAAATAGAAGAGAATATTTTACATTACTTGATTTAAATTTGGAAGCTCAACCATTAAGCAAAGTATTTTTAAGCCACATTAATTTCTTATGTTTCCAATTAATCTAAAGGAAAAGAAGCCTATTGAATGTGGTCTGTGTGGGTTACCCGTAGGAGTGGATTTTCATTTTCTAGTAATTCAGTGTTGTTTGTTCCTCCCTTATACCAAACCCAGATACCAAAGTAATTTGATAATGACAGCATTATGTCTCTGTGGCAGCTCAGCTGATAAAGGATTCTGGGTCTGTGAGATCAGCAGCAAGTGAACTTAGCAACAAAAAACTCGTGTGAATGTTCTTTAAAGTATGAGAGATGGGAATGATTGCCTGGAAGTGTATAGTACAATTTAGAATCTTTATGTAACATTTAGAATCACTCTGGAGTGTTAGCCACACAGTGAGTGTTTTCTGACATTCTGATGGGGTCTGCACAGCTCAGTACTACCTCTGTATGGAGGTCCACTCACTCTACCAAGGTCCACCCTGAGAATCGCTCTTCTGCCGCCCCGACTTCTCTTTCCACTTCCCTTGTCCCGGTTGTTGGCCTGTCTGTCTGGGGGCCCTCCCTACTCATAGAACATGCCAGTGACAAACAATGGGAAAGATTTTATTAGTGTCCAGGGTGCTGACGAGGGCAGGAGAAAGAATAAAGCCATTCACAGACATCCTTAGTTTTCCAAAAGACACGATGCATCAGACAAGCAAAAGGGTTTTTCAGGTCACTGAAAAAAATTTAAACCCCTCTCTGGTGCCTCCCTTGAAGAACTGAAGAAAATTCACTAATATGATATGTAATGCTAATTTAAGATACTACCATTTAGAAAGGATTTTCAACTTTCTAAATAATGACAAAACAACTCACAAAGTTGCCTGGTTTTATGAGTTCTATAAAGAACCGTGTAATAGATAGAGATGGCAGTGCCTGCACCCATTCTTAACGAGATTAAATGATAATGGGAATATTTCCATCTTTCCCTCCCACCCAAAGCCTGTTTTCTTTTTTTTTTTTTTTTTTTGCTCTTGCCTGAAAGCTTTCTGACTGCTGTGTGGTTACTGCTGCCACCTAATGTCTCCACATAAAATTGCAATGGGTTTGCCTTTCCCAAAAGATTCCCGCTGTCCTGCAATTTCTGGAAATACTATTTGAGCATGTAGGGAAGTTCGAGCCTTGATAATTGAGCCAGCTGAAATAAACTGACAGTAACAGATTAGCAGGAGAAAAGGCATACACATTTATTATCGTGTACATGTGCACGGGAACCACACAAAACGTGAAATTTAAAGAGCTTTAAAGGTTGAAGCTTTGCAGGGAAGGAACAGCAAGAACATAGGCAATTACCAAAGGTAGGGAAATATTTTCAGGGGAAATGAATAGGCTGGGAGAAAAGTCAGTGGCCTGTTTCTCTGGGTTCGAGGTGTGATGCTGGATGTTCAGTTTCCTGTGATCGAAGTTTAATCCTCCTTGGTTAGCTGAAATTTCGTGAGGGCAATTGCGTTCCTCTTCAGTGGATCAGTCTTCAGTAGATACAAGAACTCCAGAGAGAAGCCTCACCGAGAGTCTGCTGACCCTTCTGTGCCTTTAATTTCAACAAGCATACCAAGGCAACCATATTTTGGAGTATCATTTTCTGGGTGCCAACAAGAACAACTTGGGTTTCTATTTGTACTCGTGAAGTACTAGCACTGTGCAGTAACTGCTTATTGTGGAAGGATGCTGAGTAGCATACATTGCACAGGGTAACCATGCAACCATAAAGCAAGGAAGAAGGGGTCTGGGAATGTTGATACTTAGTATAGGATAAATTGCCACTGTGACCACTCTGAAATGGATTTCCCCTTATAAAATTGGACTTGATGCTCTTAATGGCCTATCTAGCTTAAACTTTTTAAAAAATTGTGTATAGTTATATTAAAGTATGGTCCTCTTACATGATACTATTTACTTTTTAGGCTGGACATACTTTCTGTGTTAAATATTCCCATTTTCGCTGTTTGAATAGGCAGCTTGGTAGCTTTCCTGTGTTGGTTTAGCAGCGACAGACCTGAGGACTGTCCGTTGTCAACGTAGCCTTAACCAGAACAGTACTTCCACTTACTTGGCTATTCCTGGGCTTCCTCAGCTCAATAGTGTATGTGTAGTACATATTAAGGTTCCTAGATTGAAAATCAGAAGACCTACCCAGTCTGGACTTTGAAAGATTTATATACTTATATTGTTTGATTTTCGTTAACATTTTGAAGTTCGGCATTAATACTTCTATGTAACCCATAGAAATCTAAGGATAAAATGCTTTTTAGGCATGGGAGAGCAAAGGGAGGTAGAATTTGCTATTCATGATGCAGTTTGGGGTTTTTTGTTATTTTGTTTTTTGGTTTTTTTTTTTCCGGTACCAGGGATTGAACTCACGACCTTGCGCTTGCTGGGCAGGCTCTGTGCCGCTGAGCTAAATCCTCAGCCCCTTGCAGTTTGTTTTAACTTGTAAAGAATGTTATAATTTGACAAAACCTTTCCTTTGCTCAAATATTACTGTCTTAAAATGACATTGTAAAGAATTGTTTTATGTATAGCATTTTAGTAGATACTTTGGTTTCTCTCAAACATACTTTAACTGAATTATTCATTCTTTATAATTCCATACTGGTTAAAGCAGAGTCAAGTGAATATAAAGCCTTACCTCCAACTAGTTTGGGCTTAATTTGTTACCAGATTTTTAAAGAGAATTGATAACTGGGATCCCTTGTAGATGGAGATCCTATTGAATCAAATAAAAATTAATTTAGACCTTCTGTTACTATGTTTAGATGCTATTCCTACTTGGCGTGAACCCTAGTTAAATAGTTTGCTTTGCCATTATCCTTTGCTTACATGTTTTCGGTGGTCTTGTTCAAACCATGCTGAGTGAATTTTGCAAAACTGGAAACTCGCTGCCTCAAGTGACTGGCGTAGCTACGTAGAGAACCCTTACTGAGTTCCTCTTGAAAAAGTTACTATTACTACTGTCAGGTTTATTTGGCACAATTCTTACATGCTTTAGTGGACTGATCATAACTTTATTATCTTTTGCAGTTGAAATCTTTCTTTTCTAATACTTCAGTATTATTAAGTGTTGCTATCAGGTTTCTGTTTGTTTCCCAGTTATTACTGATCACTTTGTCAAAATTGGGTCCTGGATAAAGGAATATCATGACTTTAATATAGTGGTTAAGAGCCAAGCTTCCAAAGTCAGATTTCCTGAGTTTGAGTTCTGGCTGTTTTCTCTATGATTTTAGGGAAGTTATTTAACTACTGTGAACTGCATTTCTGATGCCTGAAAGGGAGATGATAAAAGAAACTCTACCTAATGGGATTGTTGTGATGATTAAGTGTAGGTAGGTAGATGGATAATCTACTTCCTTAATTACTTAGTTAATACAAACTCAGAGATACTGGATTCATTTTTGATTCCAGTAAATGTTCCGTGTGTGGTGTCTTTGATTTTGTGTTTCCAGGGCTAGAAAAAAATCACAGGATAGCTGAGTATTAGAATATTTATGTACTATTATATATAAATTTATATATTCATACCAGTAGTCTTATAGCCCTAGCTTTAGGTTAGGTGATTGGGAAGTAGAGATACAAGGAAAAAAAATAACACATGACCTCAGCCTTCTCGGGAGGGTTGAGCAGACATGTTCAGTCTGATCTGCTTTCTTGGCTGCCGCAGAGCAGCTTTCCCTCCCGTCCCAGATGGAGTCAGGCTCTCCCTGAGTAGCCTCCTGTGGCTTCTGCACTTTGTTAGGGAAGAATTGTTTGATTCTTTGGCTGAGCACCTTTATCTTCTTACTGGATTATAAAGGCCATGATATCAGTAACTGTCTTTTTCTTTCTGCTTTTTTCTAGTTCCTGGTATATGTCTTACCCAGAACTATATGGCAGATATTTGTTGAGTGATTAAAAACTCTCATCTTAAGAGATGAACAAACTGAGACACATATTGTACATGACTTAGCCCAGGTTACACATTTTCCAAAGTACTTGCAACTAGAACTTGAATTTCCAGTCCTGCACTGTAGTTCTCTCTAGTCTGTCTACCACACTATGAAAATTTAAATTGCGGAGAAGACAAAGCAGTATCTGGAAGTAACTGCACTGCAGCAGGAGGATGGGATGGAAAGTGGGAGGTGAATGGAAGTCCTTTTGACAAGGGTGAAGTGCGAAGTGTAGACAGACAGGCTTGATGAAGGAGGAGACGTTTGACCGGATTTTAAGGATGGACAGATTTGGGGTAGGGAGGTTTAGGAAGGATCACTCCCAACATAAACTCTGTTTTATCTCATTGTATGTATCATTTTCAGCTTGATAGCTTTAATCCCATTATTTGAAGGAATCTTAAAAATACATGTTAGTTGACTAATGATCTTGTCTTATTTCAGTTAACAACGTGGGGATGTCCTATGAGTATCCTGAATACTTTTTGGAAATTCCTGACTTGGACAATGTGAGTTTTTATTTCTCTCTTATGGTAACAAAAAGAATGCATTCAGGTATTAGTGAGACAGTTTGATAAAATGATTCAGACTATGAACACTAGGGCTCAGCTGCCTGGGACTCCCACCCCAGTTCTTCTATTTCTGACCTGAGTTAGTCTTTGGGTGAAGCTAAAGACTAAGTTTCTAACTTAATCTCCGTTTCTTCACCCATACAACAGGCAACTTCATGGGAATGCTAAAAGCACTGAATGAGAGAATATTTGTAATCGTATATACAGAGCCAGGATCAATAGTAGCTCTAATTTTATTATTTATTATAATAAATAAATTTATATCAAAACAGCTCAATTTTATTAGGATTTTAAAATCAATTTAAAAATAGTAAATTATTAGCAGGATGGTTGATAGAGGTTAACCAGCTCTACAGAAATGAAAGCCACATCTTTGATACATCTATAATCCTTTAATGAAAACTAGGAAAGCACGTCATTGGAGGACTGTGTAAGTTTTTAAAAACTAGAAAATTTTAGATCCGATTATTTCTAGTTTCCATATTAGCAGAAGAGAAATTACAGAGTGTTCTGTTTGTTTTAGGTGTGTCTTTTCATTTGCAAATTTTATTTGTGCACTTACCTTAGAGTTTGCATATTAGCATGAATTGCTGCTTGTGTCAGAAAAATACTATCATAAGGAGAGTAAAATAAAATGTGCCTCTTTTTCCCAACTCCAGTTGTTTTTCAAGGTCTCTGCAATATCTGGGAAAACTTCTGGTGCATTCCAGATTACCTGAGCATATATCTAATATGGTCATTTCTATAGTAAATTATATCAAATTATCATTTTTTGCAGGTCATCAAGAGACTGCTAAATATTAATATTCTTTCTGTTTGTAAGGTAAGCACCTTTGTTATAAATATGTCACCCTCTTTTTACTTCTTTCTATTTAAGGATACAGTACTTATTCATTCACTTCAGTCACCTCTTGTTTAGAGTAAGCATGTATTCCAGATGAAAGTAGTCTGTTAAGTCTTCAAGAAATAGAAAGAACTGACCACATAGTGGGTGTGTTACTTTGCTAACAACCGAACAGTTATTAAGTGTCTTTAACATGTAAACACAATGGTAGGTACCATTGTGTACACAATTGTGTTCCACAGAAACATGATAGGGCCAGATATTTGTTTCATACACTTGCTGTTCATCACTAATAAATTATTTTTATCTTCTGTCCCTTGTGGCCCACTTAAATGGTAAATTAAGTGTTGTGGTATAGCACCATATGGAGAATATGGTCCTACTATAAAGGTAGAGTGATTTTTACTAGCCACACACAATAACCAGCCCAGTAGCCAAGCATGCATTACAGCCAGGTCAGAACACAAACACCCAGCTACTCGCCAGCAGGAACAATGCTATCAAATAATGAGCATCTTAACACCTTTTTCTCTTACTTTTAACTGTAGCTATATAAAAATACCATATTTTGATTGTATATACCAGACCAATGAAAAGTACTACCCAAAGCAAAATTACCATGGGCAACGTGAACTGAGGTACCACTGTGCTTTAAATTTGAGTGCTCTTATGGAAAGCTAAATATACTTTCAATAACAAATCTAGAGCTAGATCTAGATATAATATTCAATGCAACTATTCAGATTTATCTGATAAATATAAATAAGAATTATTAATTTTCACTTTAAGGAGTAGTCTCAGTGTTTGTCTCTACTGTGAATGTTTAAAGAAAAGTTCTCCTTGTGTCTTCATATCCTGAGAGAAACCATAACTCTTACATTGTTGAGTCCTAGACATACCGGTAATGTTATGCCTTGCCCAACTTTAATATATGGCTGTACTTCTCACTGTAATGTGTGTGTTGTTTGAAAGAATTAATTCAATTTTTAAAAGAATTTTAAGTGTTAATTCAATTTTTTTGGAGCTTGCTGCTTGAAGATACTTCTAATGAAATATTTAAAATGAAAATAATTTTGTAAGGTAGTCCATCCCACTGTGTCCCCCCCCCCTTTTTTTTTTTTTTTTGTATCAGAAATTGAACTCAGGACCTCAGGCTTGCCAGGCAGGCACTGTGCCACTGAGCTATACTCCTGGCCCTGTGTCTTTTCATTTGTTATTAACCAAGGTCTTCTTCCTCCTTCTCCTCCCTCCTCTTCCCTTTATCTCCTACTTCCATCCCCTGCCCTCTCTCATTCAGTTCAGGTAAGATAAATGAGTAGCAGGTGGGGCTAGAAGTAGACTTGGAATGAACCTACATGCATAGAATTGTGCACTTAAAATGTGATGAATATGAGCATATCTGTTGGAAAGCGTTTCCTTAGCTGATTTAGATTAATCATCTATGTGAGATTTCAAGATAATTAAATAACTGCCATTTGCTAGTTACATTGTACTTCGGGTAAATTACTTAACCTCTGTGCTTCAGTTTTTCAGCTATAAATTAGGGATGATAATTCTCTTTACCTCACAGAATTATTGTGAAAATTAAACAAGGTAATACAAAAAAACCTCTTAGAACAGAGACCAGATCACAGTAAGGACTCTAAAAGTATTACTGTTGTTGTTAAACTTGGAACTGATAATGACTTCTGTAAATATGTGCAATTTATTTTACGTTTTTTATAAAACAAAGTTTTTTGATCCAAATTAATCACTCCTAGTCTATGATTCCTATATTTGGTGGGTTTCTTTTATAAATGACTGATGTGTACTGTTATTTTGATCTTTCTTTTCTGTACATTTGGCCAAGTGTTTGAAAATAACAAGTGTTAAAACAGGATACATGTGTTTCACGATATATTGTGCCGAGTTAATGAGAAAATATGTTCAAGTGTTTAAATTTTATTTAATAGGATTGTCAAGAGCTGCAGATTTGTCTACTTTTTTTATTTTAAAGAAAATAGTTAAAAAAAATAGCAGCATACCAACATCACAGACATTAAAAAAAGCAAGAGCTTTAAAGTGATACAGGGTTTCAAAACAAAATGCTAGGAATTAACAGTGGTTGTTATAATACATATTGTTATCTTCCACTACATTGCTGAGATTACCAGATGTAAGAATGGAAGATTGTTCAAACCATTAAAGAGAATAAAAAAAAACTATTAAATAAAACATTAGCGATGACACAGAGTTTCACTAGACAAGATGGTAGGGATTCACCAATGGTTGTTCCGTGGCATATGGTTGTTTTCAGATCAGTTACTCAGATTACCAGATGTAAGTATGCAAAATTGGTCAAAATATTAAAAATTTTCAGATTTGTCTTCTGATGGTTTTAACTAGATCCACAAACATGTTCTCTTCTGACCTGCTGCTTGTCTGACCTTACCTTTTGCGCAGTATTGTCGTGTAAAATCCCGGCCTCTTCTCCCTCCCAGATTAGACATTTTTGCCCGGCACTCTTCAGAATACTGGTGAGAGGAGGGTCCTTCCTGCCCAGAGTGGGAGAACGAGGCAGCTGTGCTCCATAGTCACAGGCTGACCTTCACGCTGCTTCTGAGCGCAGACCAGCCTGTGTGGCGGTGACGACCTCCTATCCTTGCCTAAGGACCAAACAGTGCAGGGAGACCTTGTGACCAAAGCAGCATGAATCCACCAGCATTGTAAAAATGTTGATGAAATAAGAACAAGAGCCCATTCCTGATACCTTGTCACACTGCAAAATGAGTCTCCTCAGTCCATTCTTCCTCTTCCCTTTCTCTTTCCACATTGTCCTAGACACTTGTTCACACTTGAAATGAGTTAGCAGAGCCAAAATTTCTTAAACACTTAGGAGCTAAGTTTATGGGACTAAGAAGATGGGGTGGGAAAACGCTGAAAATTTTTTTGTATGTAAGCTTTTATTTGCAAACCAACTCCCATTTAAAAAGTACCAAAGAGTTTGCTATGTCAAATATCATTCATTAAACCATATAGTCATTCTTATCTTCAGCATGAATCTGAATTTTCCTATACCTTTGTGATATTTTTAAAAGAAGAACAAGTCAAGACTGTTGGTTTATGGAATTACTATCATCTGGAGGACAGCCAGTGTGGACTGTGGGTAGGACAGGTGTAGTGTCACCTTTGTGGACGAGGCACAGTGGATTTGTGACTGCTCACGTTTGGAAATGGTGACTGGGAGCAGGGAGAGTGAGTGATGTGTGGTGGTGAACCAGAAGCCAGGAAAACAAAGTTAGGGCAGGGTGTGCAGGAACTTCAGTGTCATGCTTATTAGCACCAGGAGCCATAGGAAGTCTTAACGTAGAGGTAAGTTGCCCTGTGGTGGAGAGTTTGCTCTAGTGGCAGAGTGAATGGCAGTGCCACGTGTGTTTATCTCATCTATCCCGAGAACAGTGACATTCACCTTGAAGTTTACTGTGTGATGCTCCAGGTTAGTGCTCTCTCATGATGCTGTGATTTGGCCTCTAGGATATTTTAATGAATTACACTTGTGTAGTTGACTGTGTTGTGTTCCCATGGTTAGAGCCACAATTTCAGTGGCAGTGGGTGTTTAGCGTAAATTAATGGAGGTGAAAAGAGGTCTGGCTACAGAATCTTAACAGTTTCTTGCTGGCCAAATATGAGGGGAACTGGGACATGAGTGTATATAACATAAAATCACACCAGATTTACCAAAAAAGCTCATGAGCCTTTTCTTACTAAGGTGGGCCCAAGTTTGTCTCAGCAGTCCACGTGGCAGCAGGTGACTGGCTGAGGCGTGTACCAAGAGAGACTGGCAAGTCAGCCTGTCCTGTGGCTTGGCGCCCATGCCTCTTACTTGGGGTGTTTGCTGGGTAGGGCCCTAGCGTCTTGTTGCAAGGCCTGTGCTACCCTGAGAGTCCTGAGTGAAGTAGCTCCACATTCCTGCAGACCCGCAGGCCCCTGTCCTACATTGAGTAGTCAGATGATTATAAAAACCATACAGGTTTCATACTCCAGTAAAAGAGTGATAACAGTAAATTACCCTCTGGATAGAGGGGCAGGTTATCACTAGATAAAGTGATGGTGATGTGGTCCAGGAGAGTATTGGGGAAGAGCTATTAACCAGAATAGTTTGCCTCTAGACCCCTAGTGTCTAATTGTAAATGCCTCTCCCTGGCCCTTTAGCTCTGATCATTTCTCTTTTTAATATTCCCCAATAATTTGTGTTTATTCCTTCTTTCCCCCTCAGTGGCTTACCTAACTGGCTTTTCCCTTTACCAGGGATGCTTAGAAGCCTTGTTGCTTGCTTTTCTACCTGTGCTCTAAATCCTTTAGGGATAAATCTAGGCTGGTTCTTGTTTCCTGTAGAGCAATTATATAGTGTAGAAGTTCTATATAGGTAACCAATGGGTAGATCAATCTCAAAGTGGAAGAGAAGTCCTACCACACAGAGCTTTCCTCTTACAATTTCAGGTGCTCAGTGACTGCAATCTGAGGTAAATCTTATCAAGAATAATGACCTTCATTCCAGAGGGGTTTAAAGACAATTTAAACCTCAGGATATTAAACCACACTCTTCTAAAAGAATTCCAGTTTTTTGCCTAGAGGTATTTCCATTCCAGAATACTGAGAGAGTTTGCAAATGAAATTGTTCAACTGCTATTGATTACTGTCAGGAAAATCATGGAAAATGGGTGAAGTACCACAGTTCCCAAGCAGGCAAGTATAGGTCTGATTTCAAACAGGTCGCACAATGCATCCCACATCAATTCAACATCAAAACATATCTTGTTTATAGTGTTTGTTTCTGATTTAAGGTCATTTGTTTCATTGGGGGTTGCCTTCTCTAGGCTATACTGTTCTTTGAGTCTTTGAACAGCATTTTAAAACCTCAGTAAACCATACTTTTTGCTCCTTTTCAGATGAGCACTGTCCAAACAATTTTACCTGAACCTGCCAGTGGTGGAGGAGCG